AAATACCCTATTAATTGAAAATATTTTTCGCTTTATTAAAAACTGATGAAAAAAATAATCTTATATACTAACAATACATCGTTATACATGAATGTAGCAGACTCATATGTAAGGTGTATTTTCTTAAAAGAAAATACTCATTACAAATAAATTTCAGCAATTTGAAATTTATAAGTTATATCACTTGATTGATATTCGTTAGAGTCTTTAATATATTAATACAATTTGATTTTATATCATTCTATATGTGCAACATAAGCTTTGATCTAAAAATTAACTAGCAAATTCTTTGTTTTCAAATATGTAACCTCAAATTCATAAAGAGGAAAAGAATTAAAAACTTACTTTTCTCGTTAAATATTGTATGTAGGATAAAAAGTCATCTAATATGAGATATCTTTTTTTAAAAACTTGTAATTTATTTAATTTGCAACCTTAATTCCTATTTTCGTGTCAATTTTATGGGAAATATATTGAAGATTTATCAGTAAAAGTTAGCAACCGATAGCTATACTTTGTTGTATGTGAAATTTTTTTATCGAAAGTGCTGATTTTGTTCATTCAAAAAAAGGATTTGTAATATGAGCAATACAAGGGTTTTCTTATATGAGATGGTATCTCATAATACCAAGGAAAATAAAACTAAGGAAAAAATAAAGCTAAGCTTTTTATACACGCTTTTATTATATTACATATAAGTAGGAACAAAGAATTTGAATGTTGTACACAATAATTATATAATTTTTCGATATGTGTGTGTGTGTGTGTGTGTGTGTGTGTGTGTGCGTGCGTGTGTGCGTGTGTGTGCGCGCGTGTGTGTGCGTGTGTGCGCGCGCGTGTGTGTGCGCGCGTGCGTGTGCGTGTGTGTGCGCGCGTGTGTGTGCGTGTGCGTGTGTGCGTGCGTGCGTGTGTGTGCGCGCGTGCGTGTGCGTGTGTGTGCGCGCGTGTGTGTGCGCGCGTGTGTGTGCGTGTGCGTGTGTGCGTGCGTGCGTGTGTGTGTGTGTGTGTGTGTGTGTGAGAGAGAGAGAGAGAGAGAGAGAGAGAGAGAGAGAGAGAGAGAGAGTAATCTTAACATAGAATCATCATTTTTAATATTTCGTTCAATAGTATGCTTTGAAATATTAAATTATTTCTCTCTCATATTAGCTAGGAATACCCTAAGTCTCATATTACTTCCATGCGATTTCATGATTACCAAATCTAATCTTTACAGTTAAACAAATCATTATATCACATATTTTTTCTTACTTACGTCCTTACTCTATCACTGCATGTAGACTTTATTAAAAATATTTATTTATTATTTATTATTTATTATTTAATATTTATTTATTAATAAAACAAGGAAGATTAACTTCAATAAAATTCGACAACATCCAATTTCTTTTTTCATAACTACTACACTACATGATTTAATAATTTCCTACTAAATATGTTTCACTCTATGAGTAATAAGTTCATAATAAAATCAAGCACATGCGTTTATTAGTTTAGCAGAAATCCTCTTATCTCATATTGAGAACCTATTCCATAATAGGCTACCTAATAATGTACTCCATCAATTTCTATTTGATAGCATTTGTAGACTCAGACATTATAGTTCAAATACACTATTTGTAAAATAAAAAGAATAGTATATTAAAAGAAATGAATGTATGTGTTAATTAATTGGATACATTATCATAAATATACAGGTTATGAATTTAATTTAGGCGCGAAAATCTGCATTAGCTCTACGAGCTCGGTCTTTGAATCCGGAGTGGATTGAGCAACTCGATTGATTTTAGGAATGTTAATATGTAGATATATAGCAGAAAGATGCGAGTTACCAAACGATTTTCGAAGTAAAACGGACGCCTCCGATTTGCAATGCCGAATACATTTATTTACATATATATAAATTTACATATATACATATTACATGTTTACAAGGTGTTTGAAAAATAAATCTTTCGCATAGGAGCAGAATGGCTGCGTTCAGCAGATTCAACAGTTTTGCAACCGTTTTATAATTCATCGCGCTGATTGGATTATACTTTTAGATTTAAAGGAATAGTCCTATCTCAGCAAAGAATCATAAAACGGTTGCAAAACAATTGAGTCTGCTGAACACAACCAATGAACTAAACTGAGAAAAAAAAAATCTTCTACCATTTTGCAATTTTCGCTATAGTTAACAAGGTATTAATTCCTAAAAATTACCGAAAATTGATCTTCAATAATTTTTTACTCAAATACTATTAACTTTACAGAAAAATTGCAAAGACAGAAATTATTTATTTTTTTCTTATAGAGCTCTAAGAACTTTTTTAGAATTTTTTCAGAATTTTTTAGTACCATATATTCTCATGTTGATAAAAATGAGAAAATGCAGTACTAAAAAGTTGATATCTTATTAACTATTGCGAAAATTGTAAAATGATAGAGGATTTTTCTTCTCCGTTTAGTTCATTCTTCCCCCGTGTGAAAGATTCATCTTTACTTATCGAATACAAGTATATACAGACATTAAATTCTAGAATTGAAAAGAGATGAATATGTTAAACCTCGGTTAAGTTACCATGAGTAGTAAAACTAAGCCTTAGGCCGATATTCATAGTCGATTCTTATTTCAAGACTGCACTTAAGAACATAAGAATGAACTATGAACATAAAAATGAATACCGGCTTCAGTCACAAGAATGATCATGACAGCTAACCAAAACGTAAGAGAAACTATTGACGCTTCAGATCTATTGCTATCTCTTGTGATTTTGAAATGAGTTTACTACTGTATTGGAGATCCTATTCTACATAAACACATATGAATAATTTTCGCATATGAAAACGATAGTTTCTTGACTATGATTGGTTGATTGTATACAGAATTGTTATTTCCACGATACAAAAAAGTTTGTTCGCGTCCCCCAACTAGGGAGTCTCACAGGAAGAAAAGCAAATTGCATTACGTGAATGCCCACGTCCAATCAGAACGGAGATCACCAGTTTTCTCTCTTCCTATGGAGCTTTGATGTCCATGTCCAATCAGAGGAGATAGATCATATGATATGCAATTTGTCACTCTCTCTCTGTGAAGTTCTCTAGCTCCACTGTGCTTCAGTTACAACTACTATTCTCTTCAACGAGTGCATTAGAGTGAGTAAATGCTATAAGAGGAGCATTTTAGAGCACGTAAGAACATGCGATGCGAACACACCTAGAATATAAGATATTTCATTGCGCATAATGGCCGGTAAACTAAATTAAGACAATCAATCAAATATTTGTCTTAAATTAAAACAACCAAGCAAATATTTATTCTAAATTTAGGACAAATTTTTGATTGGTCAAAGAGCAGCCACCAAAGACGATTAAAGACGACTGCGCAAAAAAAAGTAAATATTGTTGTGTAATTAACATTCATTTCTTCAGAGGGCGGTAGTATGCGACAGCATTTTGCGTTACAAGTTTTGATAAGGCACTATAATATAATATAGTAAGGCACTATAATGAATATTCGCATCCATCATTTTTTCTTTTTTCACTCTCTTGCTCCTTTTCTCAATCTCTTACTTTCTCTTAACTATATCGCTAAATTAAGATGATTGAAGAGAGAAGATTGAAGAGAGAACAAAGAATAGACTAGAAACAAAAAAAGGACTAGAAATAGCGGATGCGAATACCTATACTCTGCTCAATGAGAGAATAACCTCGTTTGCGACCGACTTATATAACAGGCCAATATAACGCTATAAAGACTTGCGCAAAATGGACGGATTTTTGTCTGAATTTTTGTTCGAGGTCATTCTCTCGTTGAACAGAGTATATATTATAGTGCTCTAATTTTGGGCCGTCATGTCCTCTCTCAATAATGGGATTTTCTAAATGTGTTTTATCAATAATGACAATTGTCGCTATCGTTAACTAGCGATAGCCAATCCAAAAAGAAAGCGCGACTCTCATTGGTTGTCGTAACTATAAATTTTGAACTATAAATTTTCAGTACCCATAGTGAATAACGAAAAGCAGCCTAAAGTTTTCGTCAATTTCATTAGGCCTCATAATTTCCCAATAAAATTGAAAAACAAGAGATTTTTGAGTTTTTTAATGAAAAACTAGAGATTTCTAGAGATTTTTGAAATCTGATTTTAAGATTTCTTCTATCAGCGAGTTGGCAACACTGTTACCTATGTTAAAAAATTGCCTTTATAATCTAGGAATCTCTCTGTTGATACTCCCGGATGATGTGAGGTTAAGTTTCTAAACGTAGTTCTGCGCAAGGTGAACGTAAAGAGAGACGTTTGGTATTTTAGATCCAATTATTTTCAAGTGGCATAATCAATGTTCTTTGTGTGTTTAAATTTGATAAAAATCAAATGTAATTGAAAGGATAGTAAAGGGTTTTAGCTGCTATTATGAAATTGTAAAAAATGATAACGAGGTAATACAATAACGAAAAATTCATATATCTTAATATATTATTCTTAATATATTAATATATTATTCGATCTGCGGACGTAATTTTCCTAATTGTAAATTTCTATCTTAACTGCGCTATATAATGCTATTTTACAAGAATGTTCTTACAGTAAGACATTGTTACATACGAAAAATATATAAAACTATAAAAAAAAACAGCTGGAAAATTAGTTTTAATTTTAATACAAAACTTTTCAATTTTTGATTTGCACGTTTATTATGAAAATACATAAGTGTGCAAATTAAAAGTTGAAATATTTTGTATTAAAGTTTTTATTTTAGATTAGACGTTCCTGATTAATAAAAAATAGATTTTTTAAGTTCTTAAAAAAAGTGCAACTTGAAAAGAATAAATATTGATCATACGAATGACAAACATTACTGTAAAAAATCAAATTAGTGCGATAGACAGTGTGGACAGTAGTGATTCTGGGTGTGTTCCATATGATTAAGGTTATGTCACACGTTATGGATTGACAATATCGTTCTTGATTTCGGACGTTTTTAGAACATGAGATCGTGCTCTGTAGGAAATTTATAATATGATACTACCTTTCTTTGAAGAAGATGCCTGGTGCTACTGGGTTGTTTCAGTTGGTGCTCTGCTATCATTTCTCGGTCTTGTTGCTACTTGTATCTGCAGTTGTCGACGAAATGAGAATAAGTGAGTATACAAAGATTTGTTATTAACCATTTGATTTGTTATGATAAATTTATATTTCTAGTAATTTAAGTTATTAACATGTAAATATTAATAATTAGGCAAATGTAAATATTATACAAAGTACTATTTCTTTGGTATGATATTTAATAAGTTAATACTACACTTTTATTAAGTTGATAATTTATAAATTTATACTTCTTTTTATGTAAAAATTAATCATTGTAACTATTTCTTTTGAAACATAATTTCTAAGTTAATTGAAATTTATATTTGTTGTACAATTATAATCATATTATAACAGGAATGAATTTCTGGACCTCGCTGGTACAGTAACACTGAATAATTCTGAAACAGACAATTTCGACAGAATTCTGACATTGGATGTATGCCAGGTTATTGAGCAGGATATCAACGATGGAAAAAGGTTTCTACCTTAAAAATAAATTGGTTACATGAAATTTTTCTTAATAAATACAAAAAATAAGAATGTTCAAGCACTCTTGATTATTCCAAATAATTTGCTGTTGCTATAATATTAACAAAGAGATACTGCCGTATCTGTAGATATTTATCATATTATGTGCTTACCCTTGTTTAAGAAGTGATTTTAAATCAGGAGTGAACACAAAATTATTAAAGTTATTTATTTTATTCAATTTTATATTTTTTGTATGAATTACAACTTTTTAAATCAGAGCTAGGATTTAATTGTACATTTCGGCCCATCTTCAGCTTGGTTCCTACCTCTTCACCGATCGGCATTTAGACTACATGCTACGTGAAGATAAGGAGCAGAAACAAGCACTCAAGCTAAAAATTGACTGAAATGTGCAACTAAATCTTAGCTCTGTTTTAAATAATTCATGTTATTGGTTGCGACAAAGACTATATATTATTTGCTGCAATTTTATTTTATTAAAATGTAATTAGTCGTATTCTCTTATCCGCATATAAATAATATAAGCTATTCATATATCAACATTATCACTGCAATTTTCTACATATTTGTATGTGCTTATTGTAATTTATTTAAAAACTCTTAGTTAATTTAGTGTTATACATTACTTTTTTATTTTCTAATAATAGAATTTGATAATGAAGTATTAATTTAATTTAATTGACTGTGCATCATTAATATCTCTGTAAAAGACAAAAATTATAACACTATCATGCAATATAAATATATTAATTTGATAATATGCATTTTATAATATCATTTTATTACATTATGTAAGAGAATCAGAGTTGAATCCTATGAGAAAAGTTTTTTATTCTATAAGAAAATTATTGATATTTATTATACATTTAATTATTGATTCAATGATACAGTTCGAATGCATAGATAACATCGTGCGAACTGCCGATATGAGCACAAAAATAAACACGTTTGATATTAAGTTATAAAAATTGTTACAAGATTTTATTTTTATTATACGAAGATATATATATATAATATATACGCGCATTTTTCTCGGTGCGTCCAAAACAGCAATTCGCACAATGTATCCATATATTCGGGCCCCTATTCTTCAAAAGTATCGCATTGAAAAATTAGAGCAATGCTATAGTATATCTAACACGTACTACAGTATGTGCGTAGTTTTTTCGTACGCGATACTTTTAGAGATTAAGGGTCCTGATCTATATCGCTAAGATCCGATTGCACCAACATATTTTAATTTTAAGTGAGGCTTAGTTTCTCTCTCTCGAAAAAAAGGAATATAGAAAGCTTTACTTCTCGTTTAAAATCAAAGTAACATTGCAACCGGATCTTAGTCGATAATTTTCTCATAGGGTAAAAAACTAGTTTAACTATTCTGATTCATCCTGTATATGTATTGTATATGCAAAGTGATGAGAAAGTTACTGAAACTGAATAGCTGTTATTTTATAAAATAAATGGATAGAATGAAATAAAGTAAAAAATGGATATCTCTGTAAAAGAAATCCATATTATTTTATAAAAATACGAAAGATATATATGTACATATTTATAAATTTTTAAAAATAAATATTGTATAAAAGCTGAAAATTTAATTAAATGGTTTCATAATACGTATTATTTTTCTAAAATAATTTATCTTCAAAGACTTGGTTATTATAATTATTAATATTCAAAAATGTATTTAGTAGTTTTCAAAAGCTCTGTGATTATTGGCAAATTTAGATGATCGTCATTTCGAAAACATCATTGAATCATTTTAATGTATTAATGATTTTAATATTAATAATCCTTTTGTATATATTTATGAATTTATACATATGTTATATTTTTTCAGAGCCGGACCTTGAAATGTATTTAAAATACTTTTATTTAAAACACATTATGTATTTGCAATACAAATATATTTTGTGTTTTGTACTTTAGTGTCAGTGGATCACATGAATATATTATGTATTTTGTACTAAAAATTGATTTTTGTATATTTATTAAAATTTAATTTTTTTTGTATTTTTCAAAAATAATTCAAAAATAAGATTAATTGTCTATCTTAGTATTTGAAATACAAAATGCAAAATATTTTCAATCTTTCGTTATTAATATTGAAAACAATAATACAAAATATTTTTATATGCTTAATTGTATGAAGTACAAAATACAATTGTCGAATATTTGTTTTTCAAATGTATTTTAAATGTACGTACTCAGCAGGGTTGGCAGGAAAAAAACCACAATGGATTATGGATTTTACTGGTCCGGAGTTTATCCATTGGAATAAATTGGTGGTAAAAACTATAAAATTGACTAATATGTGATAACATATTTATTACAATCCCATTGCATATATTGTACTTACAATATTTTATTTTATGATACGGGCGTTTTTAGAAATAACTGTGTGACTATATCCACTTGTTATATTGATTATAGTGATTGTAAATTAATGCCATTATTTATTCATGATAAAAAAATTCCGTTTAATACTTAAGAAGCTAAATCATCAAATTTTTCTCATTTACTTTCTTGTTTATATATTTTTAAATAAATTATATCCTTTTTAATATTTCGATGCCTTCACGAAAAAACTGATTACAGTTGCCACGATCAATCGCTCATCAATACATTTTTTTGTAAGAACTATAGTGGTATGATTGTGATACTCATAAAATGGGCATATCTTAACAGATGACTATTAAGATATGCCACCTTATGGTTGTCACGACCAAAATATATTGAGGTGAAAATTATCATTATTTTCTGTTGTGGAAACCATTGCATTTTTTCCGTGTTTACATCTTATGGCAGTAGATCCTCTATTTATTACGCTGTCAGTAATAGATCAAGCAACTAATCACACTAAAGACTTTTTATAGGCATTATGTATTTCAGACAACAGAGATCGGATTCGCATTTACCATTTTGTGACATCTTGTAACAAAAAATCTAATTTATTAGTATCGATTCCTAATTTGTTGCGAATTTTATTTTGAATATAAACTGAAATTAGAAAACTTAAATAAAACATGATTGATGTGACTCATTTCGCAGTCTTCTCGTGTAACATGAGATTCGTGCACGAATGTCTGCACCTTACTGATTATTTCATCAGCAAATAATAAACTGAACATGTAATAATTACTTTAGTTTTTTTTTATTTATTTTTTTATGCATAGATTCTTGTCCATAAAATCATAAAGGACTATAAGACTAGGACTATAAGACTGTAAATAGAATATTGATAATTTTATTTATTTTATTGTTTTTAATACATTAATAGAAAGATTTCGAGCTGATTTAAAAAAAAAACTGGAAAATACCGGTTTTTACTAATATGAATTTTTTTCCACTAATATGAATTTTATTTTATTTTCTATGATACTAATGAAATAATATAAAATAAATTTTATAATTCCAATTTTATAATAGTAATATTTATTTCATTTCGTTTTATATATTCATTACAAAATAATAGTCATTAGTTTTATCAACTCATTGTCAGTATATGTACAGAGTATGACTTAAGTATATTAAAGGATTTTAAAGGATGATCCTCACACACAAATTTAAAACAAAAATTTCATGTGATCATATGTCCAAAATGGCTTATTTTTTTTAAATATATGATCAGAATTAAAAAATTTCATTTTTTCCAAAAATTTTGAAAATCATTCAGTCTATTTTGATGAAACTTTGTACATTTAAAGGATATAAAGCCTCATCTTTTCAGACTATACATTATTTTTATTCAATCAAACTCAAGAATAAGGGAGTTTTTTTATGAAAAAAATGCCACTGATTTTTCTTAAGTTTAAAATTTTTTATGATAAATGGAATAAATTAGCTGAAAAAGGTCTCTTTTAATATTTTTTGATAAGGTGAGTCTCGAGTCGAGAAAAAAAAACAAATTTGAATTCGTGCATTGCAAAATTGTTTTATTAGTAAATAATGATCTCGAAAATTATTTTATCAAAATATTAAAAAGATCCTCTTTTTTTTGCTGACTTTTTGCTGAGTATTAAAAATGATTCTTTTTTTCATTTAAATTCTACTAAATCTGATTATTATAACACTTCATATTAATTTTGAAACAATTGTTTCTCTCGAATATTTTTCGAAAGTGAACGAAATAATTTAACAATTATCTGCGTTCAACAGAAAAAACAGCTTTGCAACCATTGTAAAATTCTCTGATATAATTGGCTCTTGCCCTTAGGTTTTCTTGGATCCGAATGTATAAGTCAATGATATTAATCAAAGAATATATCAAAGTTGCATAGTTGCTTTTTCTACTGAATGCAGCCACTGTAATATAATCGATATTCTAAAATCTTGTAAATAATAATAAAATAATATCTTTCTTTTGCTCTTCGTCATACTAGCGATGGGAATAATTGTGAGGCCCATGAGCAAAAACTATTGATACACAAATCCATAGTACAAAATACTTCATCAGTGCAATCATTTAAATATGGATTAAGCAGAAGATATCTAATTGATAACCTTTTTTCTCCTTTTTCTTTTATTCTGTTATCTGTAATTTAAGACAACAAGCAACAGAAATAATATTCACTAAGATATTTACAAAAATTATAACAGAAATACGTACGAATTTTGTATTATTATACATGAAAAATAATTTTTTAATAATTAATAATGTATTTTCAGTTTGCAATTTTAATTTTGAATTTTCTTTTCGATGTGTTCCGAAAATCTTAAACAAATTAATTTTACAAGTCTTTAAATTCTAACACTACTAAATTAAATATTAATTAGTATTATTATATTTTAATTAGTACACTTCACCTGAAACGTTTTTTCTCTCGAATATTTTAGAAAACGATAATATAAACAGTGTAAAATAAGCAAAATAATGTAAAGCAATGTAATATAACCGATATTTAGAAATATTTTGTAAATAATAAATGTCTATTAAGATAATATTTATAAAAATATAACAGTAAACAGAAACTTATATCATCAACTTTAACATCTAAATTTTTAATTGTATATGTAATAATTTTTTAATAATAAATAATCTAAACATTATATTTTTAGTTTACCACTTTAATCTTTCTTCACGATGCGTTTCTTTAAAAATCTATAACATATTAATTTTACAAGTCATTTAAATTCTAACACTATTAATTAATATGACACTTCATATTAATTTTGAAATAATTATTTCTCTTGATTATTTTCCAAAACAAAGTAAACGAAATAATTTAACAATGGCTGTGTTCAGCAGAAAAAACAATTTTACAATCGTTGAAAGATTCTTAATATAATTGCTTTTGCTCTTAGGTTCTTGAATCTAAATGTATAAGTCAATGATATATATACCCTAGCTATACATACTTTTTTTCTATTCTTGATATACATATTGGGATCTCTGAGATCTTATCTATATTTGTTATCGTAACTTTCATAAAAAATGGACATATTTATTAATTTTTTTTTTCAATCGATGGAAAAAAATTGATTAACAATTTTTTTTACATAATGTGTAAAAGTCAATAGAATTAAGGAGCTTTGGATATATAGATTCAAAGAAAAAAAAAGTTTAGAAACACGAAAAAATCTCGATTGCACTGGGAGTTTTTGTGGCCAAGTATGTATAACTAGGATTAAAGAATACATTAGTTGCATAGCTGCTTTTTTTACTGAACGCAATCACTGTAATATAACTGATATTCTGCATTCTTGTAAATAATAAAAACAATACTTGCTTCTGTTTTTCATTAGTGAATAAATAAATAATTGTTCCTTAATCAAAAAAGCTATTGATGTACAAATTTATATCACCAACATTTTATCCAATGTAGTGCGCTCAATTTATCAATTTATGAATCGGCCATTTTTTTCTTTTTTCCTATTCTTTTCGTTGCCTGTAATTTAAAACAAACAACAGAAATAATGTCTATTAAGATTTTATTTACAAAAATTATAACAGAAATCTATATGAACTTTGTAATATTGAAATTTTTGTATATATGCAGGGTTTCCCGTAAATACCCGATTGATACTTAAGGAGAGATTCCTAAGATTATTTTGAGACGAAAATTTTAACATTAAAATATTGAGACTATAATAACTTTTGAATTATAAATGTTAAAAATTATCGTCTACAGTTGGCGCGCTCAGGAGCGGCATAACGCAAAGACTTGGGATGCGTTTGGAGTTGCGCATAATGTATCGTTTTGTCCTTCTTTATTATTTGATGAACAAAAAGGACAAATGATCATGTGTTTCATGCAAAACTCGGAATGCACCTTTAAACGCAAAAACTAACTTATCACTTCTTTTGTTAATATCGATTTTAGGATTACATATGTGAATATAAGATTTTATTTATTGAATATTTTTACAAACGCATTGTACAATAATGTTGTACGATTATTATTATATTTGAATGAGTTTTAATTGAATATTAACAGTACTTAACTCTATATAAAGAGCTACTAATTTCTATTAATTAAGATATGAAATTGATAGCAGATTGCTCAAAGAACTGTTATCTGACAGCTTGCGTTTTGTGTATCATGTAAAAATAAAAAAATATTATAAAAAGCAAAATGTCGCACAACGTTATTGTATAATACGTTTGTAGAAATATCAATAAATAAAATCTTATATTCATATATGTAATCCTAAAATCTTAATCGATATTAACAAAAGAAGAAAAATCTCAAGCAGATAAAAAGTTACGAAAGAATATCATTTGAATCCATTTTGGAACTGTTTACAGCAGACTTTGACACCATTCTTGTAACGAATATCAAATTTTCTGAGCAAATGGTACTCATTTTAATTAATAGAAAATAGGATATTTTATATATATATATACAAATATAACTTCTAACCATTACTTTTTCAAAACTAATTAAATCTGAATAACTTCTCTTGTTAATTTCCGGGATATCCGCCTGAGGAAATTAAAATGTTCCACCCTATATATACATGTATAAATAGAATATTTTATTTGTATAGGACTACAAGTGCCAACAGAAGTCTTCCAGATATTCCAAAAGATAAGAGCAGAGAACATGAGAACATGGTAGATTCAGAACCTCAAGATATTTATGACACTACTGAAATTATGGGGGACCATTCAGAATTGTATGCTACAGTCCAAGATGCAGGTAATATGAAATTGAAAATAATGCAAATAATTAAAATTACAAAAGATAAAAACATTTTATTTTATTATTTTATTTTTATCGTATTCTATTTTCACTAACTTTATCTTTTAGCTCAAGAACAAATGTTTGAAAGGGAACCACAAGAAGTTATCTTGCAAGGATGTGCCTTGCCACAAGATACATCTCATCAATATACAAGATTTGCATCTCCTGTTTCTGACAATCGTAGGTGAATTGTTATTAAATATTTTGGTAATTATTCGGATTAATGGATACAGCACCAATGACTTTGACATATGTTGTCAGGGTCATTATTCTAAATGACCTTCAAAAAGTTTTAGGTAGCAGTCACTGTTCGTTCAAAAGTTACAAAAAACGTTTAAACAGTAATGTCTTATTTCTATCATTTACAATATTAAAAATTATTCTATATCCTGTCATGGGGCGTACTTTTCACGCGAAGCAAGGACCACTCTACTTCTGCCCTCCTGTCTAAAGTTCGATGTTCACGACACTAGAAATAGGTCTGAGATCTCAGATGAAAAAAGAATTGACCAATCGCATTGGTCATGTGATCAACTTGTTTAAATTAACGATTTGTTAATTCTTTCTTTGTCCGAGATCTTGGACCGATTTCTATCGTGGACATTGGGCTTAAGAGAAAGTCGATCGCTTGACAGAGGAGGAGAGGGAGGGAGAAAGGTGGACTTCACTTCGCAAAATCGATCATCCCTAAACAGGGGGAGAGATGAAATGGATCTCGCTTTGCTTGGAAAGTCGTACGCCCCAAAGCAGGAGGGAAATGGGGTGGAACTCGCTTCGTGTGGAAAGTCGTATGTCTATCAGTATGTAGCAGAAATAAGACATAATTTTGTATTTGTTAATAACAAACAGTTACCGACTAAAATCTTTTGAAGGGTCACTCATGACAACATATGTCAAAATCAAGATCATCGCGGTGTCTGCTAATCCGAATAATTATCAATTTTTCTTTGTTAATTATTTAATGATATTTTAATTTATTTTAGTTGAACATCCTTATGCCCAACTTCAAAATATTCAGAAAACTGAGGCTAGTCAAATAAATAGGTATTAATTATTTACTACTTCTACATTTTATATTGTTCCATATATCATTCCGTATACTTTTGTCTTATTTGTTTCAGAAAATATGTAATATTTGTTTCTCATAATTTACAGAAATAATGTTAATCAAATTACGAATATTGAAAAACCATCAACATCAATGGATCAATCAAATGAAAATCCAATCGCACCACCGAGAACTCGACGATCTTCATCTCACAACTCACTTCTTAATTCTGAAATACATTACGATATTCAGGCTGCTAATGCTATCTCTGGTGGTGTTCAAGCTAATCAAGATTTACCCTACATGACACCGCCTCTCTTAATGTTACTGCCACAGCCACTGCATCCCCAACATAATAATCTGCAACAACACTTCAGTGGAGACTCACAAGATTCGAGTATTTGCATTATTCTTTCCTTCAATTTTTCATTTATTGTATGATGAATAATTTCTAATGAATTGCATATTATCTTTCTATAACAGAAGGATATACAAGCATAAGCGTGAGGGAACCATTAGCTAATATAATAGCACAAAGTAAGACAACTTACAGACAAAATCAATCTACTCGACCAATTACTGATCCCCATTATGCTACTGTTTCTGATGATTCTGGTAAATAAGCTTCAGAAGTAAGCTATGATAACTATAATATATAATAAATCTCATATAATCTGACATTCTATAGACGAAATGTATGCTGCAATTGATGAACAGGATAAAATATATACCAGTGGCAGTGAAACATATGCACAAATTCAGCCAATGACATCAGAAGTACAAGTACAACATGAACAAATAGTATTTTGTCAGCCTCCGCGCACAGAAGAAACACATTCTGCACCTCAACCACCGAGTGTCGATAGTTTACGTCATGTTGCACACGCCCATTCTAGGCAAGGTAATAACTTTTTTTTGTAATCTGGAGACACGGTAGTGTCTCGGCGCTAAGACATGGCGCGATAATTATGTACCGTAAGTGCAAAAAGTTCGTACAGGGCAAATATAGCAAAAGTTTTATTTTTAGAAAATAAACATCCAGCGAGAAATGACTCATTGAATTGATATCGAATAAACATCAATAATGATGTCGACACTAATTTCATTATTTCAATTTAACGTTTAATTGACTGTCATTTCTTGCTAGAATTAGGAATTTATTCATAAAAAATGAAATAGACTGTATAGTTCTCAAAATTATTGTACTAAAAAGATGTGTAATAATTAAATAAAATACTCAAATATTCAAAATATTCAAAATAAAATATTCAAAATAAGCCAAAATTCAAAATGTATTATAATATTTGGATGCACAAAGGTATTTGTACAGACAAGAAATTCAGCTTCTAAAATCAAGAAGATATGCGAAGCTTGTTTGTTTATATTAAACAACATATTTATATATACTTGCTAATTAATATTTATTTTTTACATTTTTAAGACTTTTTAAATAAAAATTTTCCTTGTACGAATACTTTTTGCACTGTAATTTAACAAAATTTTTTTTAGATCCAAAAGCAAAAGTAATTATTTAATATATGCGATTATGCAATTATATTTCTAATAGTTTATCTTGTCACAATTTTAAAATACAAGACAATTTTAAAAAGTTAAAGGGATACTAGCGTGACAGTCAAACTCCGACGAAATAGTTTTATCGATTAAATGTGATTTACACTCATATGATTTATACAATGCAAACATACGATTTACGAAACATTGATATATCATTATACATCAATATCGTACGCACATATATATACAATTTATCGCATATCAAAATTTCTTTGCTTTTAAATTTATTTCTTCATATATACGACAAAATTTTGATAAAAAAAACATTCCCTCTAAATTCTGCAATTAATTTCATGGTACTCCCAAGCAATCATCCATCTTAAGCTGTACCCCAATGTGCTCGATCTCTGCGATCGGAATGTACTTCTTCGATGAAAACTTATAATGCTTATGACGTGACAATTTTTGTCCGTCGCGGATCTCCTATGCGAGGATCTTGCATCCTCCCGACTCGGAAGATGAGTATGCGCTAATTATTTGCTTCTTTAATTGTTTAATTATAAATTACACTTTTTAGTCTAATAATATATATATAAATTTTGTACTAATAACGTGCTCGATGGTTGCGCTATTCCCATTATATTTTTGTCGTCTCATCCATCATCAGGAGAAGGAAGATCCATTACTTCGAGAAGAAAGAAGATACGATCATGTCATACGTAACTAAGATAATACCATGTTGGGAGCTGTCTCATCCGGGAGCCCGGTACACGCAAGTCGTATGATTCTGTATGATTCCGTATTTGCTTTTTTATTATATTGTCGTTTAGAACCTCGCTATTATCGCACACTAATTATAGGAAGAAGAAGCTCTATGTACGTAATACATTTTCTTCCAACGGAAAATCAGGATTACAAAGAATGAGAAGATAACCGTGGACAGTAATATATATTACTTTGACCAATTGTGCAAAAATAGAGGGACTGATTCTCTGAAGTATTATTCGTTTTGTCTTTCGGGAGCTGCTCGGAGTCGTTCCGAATGAACCCAGCGTATTTGAAATATAGGATTCACACTATGTACGACATCTCTCATACGACATCTGACATTGTTACGATGAATGTCGGACATCGTATAACGGATATCGTACATAGTGTGAATCCTACATTTCAAATACGCTGGGCTCATTCAGAGCCACTTCCGAGAAACAAATGTGTACCACTAATCATATGGATAGTATCCATCTGAAATAAAGACGTTTAGTTACGGAACCGCTATGGCGGAGCTTCCTTGGATATCCTGAGCTATCCAAAAGAATAATTTAAAAAAGAAGGCTAAGACCTTCCGAATTAATTCCGTTACGCCCTATAGAGCGCAAGGATTCGCAACCTGTGATGATTTATCGCGAGTTGCAGGATGAGCAATAAGAGTCGGCACAGAAAATGGCCCTGGCCCTGACTAGGGGGAGGACCCAACAGTCTGCGTGGATCCGCGGAAAAATTCTGGTCGGCACTCGGCACTCGTGTTGTGATTGAGCCAGAGCTTTCTGTAAGAGGACGGACTCCCCCAAGGCATGACTGTTGAAGATTAAGGAGCGAATCGAAAATTTCCAAAGGACGATATCGGAGAGAGCTGAGGTCGTATCGGTGAAACGATCGTTAAAGATTCTTGAACTCTCGAATGGCCAATATTTAAGTTGCTGCATAGTACTAAAGTTCGCAATCACGTGTCATCCGATGCTATTTTTGAGCGAAATATTAGTTGCCGAATTCCACTCATCTCTTGCCACAGCCGAATCATTTTTTTCTACATGTTTGCGAGTCATCAGTCATAGAAATTCGTTTTATGTCACCAATGTGATCTGTCCAGAAAACTTCTTGTTATTGTGCGAGTCTTTTATCTATCGACGATATACTTGATTCCTAGCGCGATTTTATGTGAGATATTCATCTTTATTGTATAATAATTTTGAAAACTCCGATTATATTAAATTTAGCACGATTGTTTGATCGACGCGAGTATAATCGATTCTATCTTTTATTCTGCGGATGCCGAGTCTTGAAGAACTACAGATTCAACATACAGTTGATCAATATCATATGTAATTCGATGTTTACAGAGTACATTTGTTATTTTATTTTTCTTATTAATCTCTGTACAGTTCTTTCAGCCTATCTCATTCTCCAATATTCTTCTCGCCTGTAACAAATCACTCCTGCTATCATCGCGAATCGTTTTTGCGTATAAATACTACTGTGAAATCGAAAATTAACGAAAGAATGGCACGCTCCCTCGTGTCTGGCGCCCGACTTATGTTTGGTGAAAAGTTTTATCTCTGGGGGATCAATTTTTTCCCAAATGCGAAAATGTAAAAATCTCACACATACACAAACACACACACACAACACACACACACACACACAACACACAATTTTTCATTTGTCATGTTTCCGTTGTAAGGAAAATGTTACATAATTGACCCCTAGAACAAATTTTTCTATTTTTTTTTTTGAATATTAGAATAGCTTAGCGCCGCCCCTACCACTTTAAGAAGTTAATATTTCTTAAACGAAGTGTTTGCGATCAAATTTTCACAGAAAAATTTTGTTTGTTTTGAGATCATGAATTAATTATTTTAAGTTTGGCGATTTAACTGACGGGAATAGTTTGAAATAATCTATAATATAACTGTCTTTTTTCTTATTTTTAGCGTCATCGTCAAGTGCCAATAGCTCCATTATCAATCTCGGATCTCCTAAACCTGAAAAACGTCAAGCAAATTCTCCTCTACCACCGCCACCTGAAGCAACTGCGGAGGCATACGCATCTATTGACAAAAAAAACAAAAATGATGATAAATCGAAGTCTTCATTGTCGGCGGGTAAATCACTAGAGGATATGTACGCGAAGGTGATGAAGAAAAAAAAGGAAATAGAGGAACAGCAAAATGATGCTCATCCAAGCTTTAATGTTTTACATTCTGAAACGAATGCTTGTAGAAAATTAAGTCTTATAGAAATCAGCAGAGCATCATGGTGCAGCCACGAATCTGTGGAAATACAGAAAAAGGAATCCGATTTTGTTCATTGTTCAACCAATAGTTCTACTACAAGCAATTTTTATGCAGAAAATAACAAGGGCACTTCTTTAAAAATGCCTAAAGATGATGCGGATGTGATCTCGTTACATTTAGAATCTGATCACGAATACGAAGCCGTTAATTCTAACAGTCAAAGAAACTCTGTTGCAAGAATCGTTATGAATTCATTTAATTCAAACTATGATATATTACGTCAGCAGTCTTTGCAAGAAAATGAAAACAATTCAATATCTATGAAAAATAATACGGATATATATTCGACACCATTTAAGCGCAGACAAGTAAGTAACGCTAGCAGCGACGATCCTGGTTATGAGAAGGTGCGATTGCAACAGCGAGATCATGAAATAGATTCGGAGCCAAATTACGAAAGCATGCCACATGATACGAATGAGCCGAACTATGCGTCCGTTTGTCGACCTGGTGACAGTGATACGGACCCAAATTATGAGTCTGTGAATCACACCGATCCGAATTATGAAAGTGTGAAATACATGAGTGTCGGGCAAAGTGAGGAACCACCATATGAACAAGTGAATAATTTATTGTTAAATGCAAATGCGGACGGTTATGAGAAGGTAAAAAATAAGAAGAAAATGGACAGTAATTACGAAAAAATAATACTACATAATTCTTTAGAAAAAATTAGCAACGGAGGGGATACCGACGACGAGCAATTCGTTCAAGTGTAATGTTCTTATTTTGCGTTACTATGAGACCTAATGATCGAATTGTGTGTTCAGTGTTCTTTGCAATCTCAAGCTCACTCAAAATTGAGTGAACAAAATTTGACCTTATATTTTGCAACAAGCGATTTACAAACAATACATCAAATGGCATTGATATAATAATGAGAATAAGACTGAGGAAGACAGACAGTAAAAGTAAGCTTTTGAATAAAGAGACGATAGCACTTAATTTCTAAATTGTTATAAATGGATGTATTTTTAGGATAATATATAGGAGCATAATTCGAAAAGTTACCAATAAACGAGTCAAAATATAAATTAATTCTATATTCTGTTCAACGAAAGAATGACTTCTGTCTGCGCATAGGAAGCAGCATAACGAGCAAAATGGGGATGTATTCATTACTGTATATGTACATATGATACTTCCGAACTTTGGGCTTAGAAAATTGATCGGATGAAATAATTAGAGTTGGGAAATAACACGTTACTTATAAGCCGTTACATTTTTTGGTAACGATCGTTACTTTTTTCTATCTTTAACAGTAACGGTAACGTCGTTACATTTGTGCAGTAATGATAACGAATTCAATCGCTACTTTTATCATTACTTTAATTTTTATTGGTTGGATTATATTTCAATATTGCTAGCGCTGAAAAATGTTTCGCTTTGTATCCCTAGAAGTATACTTCTAGTTACCAAAGTTATGTCGTTGTTATAACAAATGAGCGAAGTATTAACATTATTTTAAATGCTTGTGTAAGTATACAAATATATATTTACAATTTAACATTGTATTATATATAATAAAAAATTATTATTTGCAATAAATATAATTCTAAAATATTTATTTTCTCATTTCTATATTTCTTAAAAAATATTTTATATTTTATACCTTTGACTGCATTCCGATAATTACTATCAATCTTGAAAATCTGTAATTCACATTACATATATACTACGGATTTTTAGTACTGGAAGTGAATCTTGAAATACATACTTAAGTCCAGTTTCACAATTGATGGTTAACTCTTAACCAAGGGGTTCAACTTATTCATTATTCTCTTTTCAATTCTAAAAAAGATGAGAAATAAGTTGAATCTCGGTTAACCGTGAATTGTGAAACTGGACTGAACTGGGTCTTAACACTGACATTAAAATTTAAAAACAATAATTAAACAATATAGTATATGCAAGTACATTTATAAGGTACGTTAATAGTTTAAAATTGAATTATTTAAAGCAATGAAGATCCAGCTTCGACTGTAATAAACATTTTTCTAGTATTGATTGTTCTCACATGCGGTCCAAAGATTCTTAATATTATTTAACAATATTTAATTTAAATTCAATAATTGTTGAATTTAGCTCCCGACTGTTTCTGCCAGATTCGTTTTTTGTGCAAAAACGCATCGAATGAGTCTAATTTTATTAACGTCATTGATTTTATCAACATATATGAGCGAGCTAAATTCAACAATTTTCCAAAAAGTAACGATTCCTTTTTCAAGTAACAGTGTTACTTTTTAAAATGACTAAGTAACTAATTATTTTTAACAAAAAGTAATTACTATAACTCCAGCAAATGAGAATGGATTGAAATGAATTGAAATGGATTCAGATTTTCAAAAATATTGATTCAAAAATATTGAATATTAAAATGAATGCTTTTCAATCCTGAATGCATTTTTATTCATTTATTATATTATAGGAATTGCAAGGAATATATCTCTATGTCTTTCAATCTAAAAATAATATTAATTTTTTCTGTGTACAACATACACATTATGAATACTCTTCAACTCAAAATTTTGAATAGAAAATGCAATTTTTCAATCCAATTGTACATAATTGAATTCAATGAAATCCAAAAAAAGTATTCGCTATTTAAAATACATTTGGATAGAAAAAAAATTCAATCCATTTTAATTCATTCTCGTTTGCTGTGACGGTAACGCATTATGTTTTTAAGGTAACGTTCCCAACTCTGGAAATAATTTTGATATTTTAATGTGTTTGTTAAATCGAAATCGTTCACTGAAAATAAATAATTGTCACAACCGAGAATAGTTGCGGCAAAGAGATGTCTGTCCAATGTGTCATGTAAACGTGTAGAATAATTTTTGAAATGTCTTTTTGAGGTTTGAATATGTGGTTAAAAATTTCGCACAACGAGAGAGCCTTAAATTTAAAAATTTCGAACGAGCAAGAACGAATTATTAATTGTCATTCATCATTGTTTACTTAGCCTCGTTTATTTTTCATTGAAGAAGACATTAACGGATTAGAAGATGACACTTCGATGTCCAATTCTTCTTCCATCATATTGTATAAGAATCTATGAATTCATAGAAAAACTAACACAATGAATTGCTCAACAATATTATTTTTAAAATAAGTAATTATAACGCAATAAATTAACTCCAAGTAATCTAATGCTCTGATGATACAAGATATTAAAAATTAAGATCCGCTGATACAAAATATTAACAAATTGCAGTACTTACAACACTATGAAGAGGCAGCGGAGATCTACGCAAAACGGACAAATTTTCATTCGATCTATTTTTATTTTCTCTTTGAACAGAGTATAACATAAAACTATAAAACTATTACATTTGCAATAATACATTGTCATCTATATGAATTAAAGCTTCATTATTGTCTGTCTTTAGTAAACAAATTCGATCACATTTGCCATAAGCTAAAGTGACATAAAATGATGTTTTTAAAATGTTCAATAAATTCATTAAATGTTCATTTAAAAAATGCGGTTAAAATAATTTATGAATGTAAGTTATAATTTAACAATTGTAAATTATAAACATGTATACATATTTATTTTCATCAATTCTTAAATATAAAGAGATATTCGTAGTTCGGTATTTGTAATACGTGCGCGCACGCAATACACACACACACACACACACACACACACACACACACACACACACACACTTTTTATATTAATGCTAATTATTCTATACTTGGTAATTTTAATGCTGTATTACTCAAATGAAAATAATCTAAGACAAAAATAATATCGAGGCTATTTTTATAAGGACCATCATAGGTAATTTTTTATGACTATCAAAGAGATTTCGGAAGCTCAATAGTAACAGAAGAACGCTTACCTTATTATTGTTTTGGCTGTTCTAAAGAGATAAATTAATGAGGATTTTACATTATTAATCTCTATTTTATCATCAGAAATCTTATAGATTTATATATTTTTAATGATAAAACAATAACTAAATAAGACTAAATAAGATAAAATTCTCATTACTTATATCTTCGTAACAGATGAAATAGTTGATAAATGAACTTTTCAAATGTGATCAGGCTTCCTCTAATAGACCCTTTGATGGTCATGCTAACTCCTATAAGAATGGCGATCTTTAATAATTTCTTGTTGATATCTTCATATATGTATGTGCAATAACAATAATATGATCGGATAGATCGGATATTCGGAAGATAGATCCGCTATATTTTTTTTTTTACTATCCGGTTCGGATAACCGAATATTAGCAGTATATTCGGCTTTTATATAGAAAGTTTGCGTCATTGACACAGAATTCTATTATTTTAAGCTTCTTGCACAATTCATGGTTTACGCTTATAATTAAAATAGATTGTCACAGAAAAATGCTGAAATGCTATTGTCCATCATGAAAAATTGGTAATTACACAGTTTCATATTGAACAAGATCCAAAGCAGGATCGAAACATTTATATGTTCTAATATTTAAATAAAGTATAGTGTCGGCCAAAAATTCCAAGCCAACTGAATATCTCGAAAAGTATGCATTTTTGAAAAAAATGTTTTAAACAAAAATTATAGGATTAAAAAATCTATTTAATGATCTTATCAGTTTAACCTTGAGTGGCCAATGTCAGATCAAGGTCACATCGATTTATTAAAATTGTACACTTTATTTTTGATTCCAGAATCTAATAGCCAATATCAACAACTTTTCAAAACGCTACATTAAAGTTCATTTTTATTAAGTACCTTTCGAGTTATAACGCTAGAAAGCATAAGTTAACATTATTAGTATTACCCAAGGTGTCCGACCGATTATGACCTTTTGAATGTTGTTCACGATCATGCCTTGAATAATATTTATTAAGATCAAGATCATTGAAGATTGTTCCTATTTTCATTTTTACGTAAAAATAAATTTTCAGTGCACTTAATAAAAATGAACTTTATTGTAGCGTTTTGAAAAGCTTTGATATCAACTATTAGATTCTGGAATTAAAAATAAGATGTCTAATGACCTTGACATTGGCGACGCCACCCAAGGTCAAGATATGATCTGATAATTAAATAGATAATCTGATAATATTAAATAGATTTTTTTTTAACTCTATTTTTACTTAAAACATTTTTCTCAGAAATGCATACTTTCCGAAATATTCAGCTGACCCAGAACTTTTGACAGATGCTTATATATTTACACATTAATGTGTCGACTCTGAAAGGCTTTATTTAATTTATATCAAATAAGTCGAACTTGATGTGTGCAAAATTCTAGGATAGAGTGTCAATGAAATAAGAACAAATAAGAAAGAAAAAAAAATGTTGAAAATGTAATATTTAACGTATATATAACTTAGTGACAGAAAAGTCGGAGGCATTTATACCATAGATTTTTCTTTAAAAAAAGAGATTATAATAGTTTAAAAAAATTACAAAAATTATAATGGTCACAAATAATAATAGGTTATCAGTCGTTTTGCAAAGGTATTTAATGTTAAAATGACAAAATATCAGATTTTCATAAAAACAAATTGAACAATAAATCAATTACTTTTTATTTCATTACGTTTATTTCATTACGCAGATTAAATATCGTTTATTTCATAAAAAAATAACGTAATTTTAATATTTTATCCAAACTATACAGATATAGTTTGAGTGGTAAAGTATCCCAAATTTTCGGCATTTTAATCATCCTAAATGATTTTAATTGTTTTAACCACTATATGTATAGATATTATATTTATTTGCATACGTATTATTGTAAAACACAATTGCATTTTTTTTTTCTTAAAAGTACTTTATTTTTTTAACATTATTTAATATACTTTTTGTTAATAAAAAAATATTTAAAATTAAAATATTTGATAACTAATTATAATTTTTTTTAAAAACGCCTTAATATTTTTTTTTTATAAAAAGTAAAAACTGCGTGAATGATGTTTTAGGGTATAGTTAACGCGGTGTTGCAAACACTTTGAAACGTTTTTTAATTGGTCAGTTTGTAAAATTCTTTCTTCTATCTAATTGATCTATCAAATGTTTCGAAGCATTTGTACTTGACTACAGCCTTAAAGATGTAATTGAAAATTTCTGATACTTCTCGACTTTCGAGCTATCGAAATGTCGATTCCGATCGGAATTAATGAGAACCAATAAAAATTATAAAAATCAAGTATTATTAAGTTTCGAACATATGTACATGTCTACGAAACTAATAAATTATATTGGGAGTACAAATTAGTTTGGTCCGTTTTTTTGTGTTCAAAAATGCATTTATTTCAAAACAAAATGAATGAACAGATCAATTAAAATATTGTCCATCGCTGCTTACTACTTTTTCCCATCTCTCAGGCAATTTTCGAATTCCATTTCGAAAA